GAAAGGATGACCAAATACCCCCAAATAAGCATCTTTTGGCATAAATATTCAGTGAGTTGTTCAAGACGATAGAGGAGATTAATATCAGGAACCCCCCCCCCCAAAAAAGTCTTAGCAATCACCGTTTAGTTCATTCTTTTATCCCTGTTACCCTTGACTTGTAAATTAATAATTAGTACAGAAAACTAGGGTTTTTGAGTAGAAAGACCAACATAAGCAATTTTAGAGTCTCAACAGTTTACTCTTCCACCAAACTTAGAAAACAATTTAGAAGAAGAATAGGCTGAATTCAATTCGACAACTGAATTCTTTCAAACTTGTCACTAATTAAACTTTGTGTGCATCCATGCTAAGTCACTTCAGTCATGTCAGACTTTAAGACCCTATGGACTGTAGCCCACCAGGCTCCTCTGTTCATGGGATTCTCCAGGCAAGAATATTGGAGTGGGTTGCCATGCCCTCTTCCAGGGGATCTTCCTGACCCAGGGATCAATCCAGTATCTCTTAGGTCTCCTGCATTGGCAGAGCTTCTTTACCACCAGCTCCACTTGGGAGGCCCCACTTAAACTTTATTGTTTATTTAAACTGTGTAAGCATAGCCTAAACTCTGCTCTGCTAACATGGGAATAAAGAAATGAATTACTGATTAAACACATAGTTTAATTGAAAATTGTGTTTAAAGTATTCTAATATTTTCCATCATGTAATATAAAATAAAACTGTGTGGTCTATCTATTTTTAGTGACCTATTTGATTTCTGTGAGGGAGATAATTTTTGAAATTGAGCAAAATTAAAAAGAAAGGGAAATAATGATTTGAATAATCAGTCCCAAATAAGTAAGATTTATTATTTGTATTTTACTTATACATAACTAAGATTAGATTAAAAATTTAAAGTATGAAACACAAAGATTATCATTGAGCATAAATAATTAAAATTAATTAGAGTCTTAAACTGAGAACTCCTAGACTTCCGAGGATGTGGAAACTATTAGAAGTCTGTAAAGATTTCTCCTCTTCTTTCATTAGGAATGGCAGGAACAGATCATAAGAGTTAATGTTTAAGTGCTTAAGAATGTGGGTTTCAATATTTTTGGAAACACCAAGTGGTCCTTTCTAAATTAATTGACAAGTGATTGTGTACTTGCAATACAGACTGGCTTTTTTGTGGTGATAAGCTGTATCATATCTGTCTGAGAGACAAGATACAAGAGAATTGTGAAAGAAACAGCAAGTATAATCAGTAATCAAGTGTAGATTCTTGAGACAGCAATTGTATAAACTTCAGTGTTGAGAATTAATAGATTTTTACTCTTCACTTCATGGTTGGGAAGTGTCTGTAATTCAGCTTCCAAATAAGAGAGACAAAGAGGTGTACTACACTCTTATGGAATTATATTATGTTGGAACTGAAAGTGATCTTTGTGTATTAGTTAGCCAATGCTGAATAACAAGCCATCTTAAAACTCGCTGGCTCAAAACAACAAACACATGTTTGTTAATGGCTGTGGATTAGCTAGGGATTGACTGATCTAGTCTGGACTCAACTGAGCTAATTCCATTCCATGTGTTTCTCATTCTCCTTGGATCACAGGCAAAATAATAATAATAGTGTTTTTTAAAAAGTGCCTCTTGAAGTCTTATTGTGCACCAGATTTTGTGCTAGAAACACTTAAAAGTGTTACCTCTTTTACTCTTCATAAAAACATTGTGAAGAAAATTGGATTTTTTCTCACTTTTTTGGCTCTCCAGTTCTTCCAGACTACTTTGTAGCAATTTTAGGGCCTAAAGCATCACCCTCCACTGAAATCCAAAGATCTGTGAGGAGCTTCAAACTGTGACTAGACTCCCAGTAGACTCATCAAAGCTTAACCTAGCCTTGACCCTGGAGTCTCCATCAATGAAAACTCCCAGAATGTTCTAGCTGCCTCTCAACCTGTCTCTGTTAAAGAAACTTAGTAAGTTGACTCTCAACCCTAATAGCAAATTGCCTTCTATTCTACCAGAATATCCACCTCGAGTGGACACAGACTTGGTGAAGGCATACTGTGTAGGAGGAAAAGTGTGAGAAGGTTGTTAACTCTTCAGAAAGAAAAAAATAAGCCACTATGAAGTAGATACTTTTTTTTTTTTACAGGTAAGGGAACTAAAAAGAAGCTTTTTTAAGGTCATGAAATTAGTGTATGATGGACTTGGAATACACATATAGGTCTGCCTGACATCAAACTTCTTGTTCTTAACCACTCTGCTTTCTTCTGCCTCATGAAATATATTGCTCCATTTTCAGAGAGCCCTGACAACTAAGAAGTTGCTCTTTTATATTCAGTGAAATTATTTTCCCTGTAACTTTAAGTTATAGATCTTAATTTGGCCCTTGAACACAGACTCATGCTGTTTTTCAGGCGCTTTTACTGTATCATCTAATTTAAATAATACAGTAGAAGTGCCTGAAAAACAGCATGTGTTCAATAAAAATTAATTTAAATCATCCCCACAATGGATATAACACTCATTGGTAAAATACTCATTGACGCAGGGCCAGCACTAATTGTAGTCTCACACAGTTTGCACTTGTTCAGTTTATTCAGAAAGCTATAAGAAAATAATAACCTCCAGACATTTAGATATTTAACTCAGATAAACAGACAAACTGTTTCTACAATTTTCCTTAATCTACTAGCTGAGTGACCTTGTCCAAAAGAGAAATGACTCCTAGATTTGATAAGCAACTGACAATTAGAATGCTTTGGCAGAGTAGAGAGGGAAAGAAGGTGAAATGACATTAAATAATGCTTCTTAAAATTAATAAATGTTTATCTTATTAATAGGTAAATATGCAATATTGACTTTCTTTATAAATGTTGACTTTATTAGTGGAAAAAATGGAATTTGTTCAAAGGTAAAACATAGCTTACATTAAAAATTTACTTAAAGCCACAAGGGGACTAAGTACATAATCAGGATTGAAAATAAGGAGGTTGTTCAAGGATGATTTTCAAAAATGGTAAAATACAAATACAAAGTGAACATATGTTTAAGATTTTATTGAACTCATTAATTAACAAGGGCGATCTTGGGTGGCCTCAGCTTGCAAAGGGCTTGAAGCAGGATTTCGGTTTCCGGCCAGAGATTGAAGTCAGGCTGCAGCAGCTAGATGCTGAATCCTAGCTACTAGACCAGTGACCAGAGATGAGGCTCTGGCCCGTCAGCTTTATAGTAACAAATTCCCACAGAGATGAAAAGTAGTGAAATAAGTGTTTATTATGAGGAAAAAGAGTATAAGTGGGTAGACATACAAGCAGACCCAGAGAGAGCCATGCCCTCCTGGTAGTTTGAATTACTTATATGGGCATTTCTTCCAGGTTTCCTTTGGTTAGTCATCTCATTTTGCTGGTTCTGAGTCTGCATTTGGTTTATCTCCGGGTCCTCCCATATTTGCATGGACATGTCTTAGCCAAGATGGATTCTAGTGAAGAGGCCTATGGGTAGGTTGACGTCACTCCCTTTTGACCTCCAAGGAGCCTCTCTGGGAATGTATAGTTGGAAAGAACTCCTTGACCTCCAGAACGAGTAATATGTGGTCTCTTTCATCTGGGCGGGGCTCAGCTCCACTCTAGTTCCTGCTATTATCTTCCTCTTGGAGTATCTACCCACAGGGAACAAATTCCAGCCACTCAGTCTGGAGCCCATCTATCTCCTTCCTCAAAGGAACCAGTAAGCTGTTGCAGCCTGTTCAAAAAAGAATCAAAACAGACATATGGAAGGCAATCAGGAATCCTACAGTAAATTTGCTAATGGATGCAAAAAATAGAGGTTCTATAGGCACTAAATTAAATGCTGGAATCATCTTTTCTATAGAGAGGAAATCAGTTGTGTCTCTATGACAAATTATGAACAAGAATAATTAGCATTTTACTATCAGTCAGTTTTCTATAATATCCTGACTTATAAAATAGCTAAATCAAAGACAGTTCAAAGCACAGGCCCCAAGAAGATCAGGTAACCAAAAGGGAGAGCCAGGCGATGTCAAACGTTCCATTGAAAGGACGTCAGGTAATCATGCCCATTTCAAAATCTTTAACAATTTTTCCTAATGGATTTTCCTAACAGGACATGAAGGAGAAAAATTGGGAAAATCTTGGATTAAGTGAAAATTTGCATGCATGCTTTCTTAGTTGTTTAATCATATCTGACTCTTTGCAATCCCGTGGATTGTAGCCTACATAGCTCCTCTGTCCATGGATTTTCTTTTTTTTTTTTTTAATATGTAATTCTTTTATTATTCTGTAAAAGGTAACAAAATATACAGAATGAAACTTTCCCTTTTTTTAAACTAATGTTACAAACCCACGTTATCACTTACATATAAATACTATGCTCTATAGCTGATCATTATTTAGGTGTGTAAGTCCAACAATGTAGCCCTCTACCTGTTAAGCAAAAAAAAATCCAGAGTGCAGTATCCAGCATTGTTTATCCTGAGGAATCGAATGATCACAGGATTTCGTCAACTGAAGGCCTGGAGGAAGGAAATGGTGTGCGTGCATAAGGGAGTGCGTCAAACTTTTCACCCTTCAAAAAACAAATATACAGAGGTGGATCCTTCATAGAAATCAAGAAGAAAATCAATTTCAGCTAATTTCAAATAGAAAAAAAGTATGGCACAGAATATAAGCCACGATGTGGTTTTAATTATACTGAATCTGTATCACACATGCCAGCATGGAGGAGTTAATTATTTCAGACTTTACAGGCATCTTTCCTTAACTGATTTCATCCTGCTCCAAGCAAAAAAAAACAAAACAGGAAATGATTCAATAAAAATAAAAAGAATCAGGCCTGTTTGGCACTATGATACAATTGGAAAAAATAAACCAGGGAAACTGCCGCCGGTCCCAGCCCCAGAACATTCCCACTGAAGTAACTGCTCTCTTGGTAAAGGGAGAGGGTGGCGGCCGCAGGGCCGGGGGCGGCGTGGGGCGGAGCCGAGGCCCGGCCCCTCACATGGCCTCGAACTCGTCGATGCGCTGCTTGGTGTTGCCTTGCCGGATCTGCCGCAGCGTCTTGTACTTGTCCCGGCCTTGCCTCATGTTCTCGTTGTGGATGATGTCGTTGTGGGTCCGCTTGTTCTCGTCTCTGGCCTGGGACAGCTCACTGGTCAGAGTCATCAGCTGCCGCTGCACGCGCTCGTTCTTCTCGGCCTCGGTGATGCGCTTCTCCTCGTTGCGGTCGTCTAGGATGCCCTCGCTGGACAGCTCGGCGCTCGGCTCCGTGCCCTCCTCCTGCGGGCCCTCATGCACGTGGTAGTTCACCGGCTCGTACGCCGGCGGCGGCGGCGGCGGGGGCGCGGTCATCACCAGGTGCAGCTCCTCCCGGGTCTTCACCAGGTCATCCTGGGCTTCCTTGGCCCGAAGCTGCCACTCTTCCACCTCGTTCTCCTTGCGCCGCCGCGCCTCCTCCAGGAGGGCGATCTTGGCCATGTACTCCGCAAGCTCCGTGGCCAGCTGCTCTTGGCTCTTGATCTGGTCGGCTGCTTGCTTCTCCAGCTCCTCCTTGGCGCGCAGCGCGGCCAGGCGGTCAGCCTCCAGGCGCCCTGCCTCTTCCTGGGCCCGCTTCCTCTCCTCCTCCAGCTTCAGGGCTCTCTGGATCTGGTCGGAGAGCTCTTTCTCCGCCTTCCTGGTTTTTTCCTCGTAGTCCTGAAGCCTGAGCATCAGTTCCTCCTTCTCACGCATCATCTGCTCTTTTTCTCTCTCCACGGTTTCTCTCCTCTTCTCGGTTTCCAACTGCTGCCTCTCCAGCTGCTTCTGGTGCTTCTCCTCCCGGGCCTGGGCCTTCATCTGCTGCACCTCAATGGTGTCGGGCTTCCGGCGGCGCATGTACAGCTCGTGGTTCCCCATGCAGAGCTGCAGGATCCGCTTGTTGATCCGCAGGCGGGGCGCATAGAACACGAAGTCTGGAGCCTTCTTGTCGATGGGCTTGATGACAAACTTCTTGTCATTGAAAGAGATGTTCCTGATCTCGCTCCATGGAAAGCCAATCTTTGGGGTCAACTTATCATCTTTCTCATAGATATTTAGTCCAAGGGCATCAACGCCGAGCCAAAGGTCTGTTCCTTTCTTATTTTTTATCTCAAAATAGTTGATCCCGTACATTTCCAGGTCCTGGGCGATCTTCAGGTATTCCAGCATGGCACTGTCTTTGAGCATCCTGCGGTGCTCGGCGTGCCACACCTGGATCCGGTCCTCCCACTGGTCCCTGGTGAGCTTGTGCTGGTCCATGACTCTCTGCGGGATGAGCCGCTCGGAGCCGAGGTACCCGGCCTTGTGCAGCTCCTTGTTGTAGTCGCCGAACTTGGCCTGCACGGCATAGGAGCCCAGGAGCACAGCGGTCTCGGGCGGGCAGTAGATCTCGTCGCTGAGGATGCCCTCCTTCACTTGCAGAAAGAAGAGCTTCTGCGTGATGTCCTGGATGAGCTCCTCGGCCACGTCCTCGGGGTAGAACTTGGCCCGGAACTTGAACTGCAGCGGGCTCTCCTTCCTGACCTCTTGGGCGGACACCTTTTTATCAAGTTTCAACCACGTAGGAAATCCTTTGTTATCCACATACTGGAGGCCAAAGTACCACACTTCCCTAAGGCCGATGGTCTTAACCACCTGATCAAAAAGCTGCTTTCCTGTGGTGTTTGGCTGGATGGCGAACTCCAGCTCCGCATCCATGGTGGTCACTCGGACGTTGATCGGTTTCGGCATTTTCGGTTCCGGACGGGTTTCCTCGCCTCCCCTGGAAATACGCTCTCCAGCAGCTGAAACGGCCTTTCCCGACCCACGGCTCCTGCAGAGGACGGCTGCGCTCCCCGCGATCCCTGCGTCCGAGCCTGTCCATGGATTTTCTAGGCAAGAATACTGGAGTGGGTTGCCATTTCCTACTCCAGGGGATCTTCCCAATTCATGTCTCCTGCATTGGCGGCAGATTCTTTACCACTGTACCAACCAGGAATCCGCAAATGAAAATTTACAATGCTTGAAATATTTTATATTTTTTAAAAAGACATATGAAAATTTATAAGAAATGGAATAATCCAGAAAAATCATAAAATTACTTTTTAGATTCTTCTTTGTCACATTCTTCAAATAAACCTAGTTACTCACTAAGGTCAGATGGGAACTGGAAAAAAGAGAAAGATAAAAAAATTAATAAATTCTATTCATGTGCCTTCTCATTCTTCTGCCACAAATTATACTTAAAATTAATAATTTATAACATTTTATATGTCTAGATGATCACTGGCAAGCTGAAGCATTCCCTGATCTTGTCATTTTAAAAGATGATTGGTTGGAATTCAAAAATGGACAAAGAAAGTATTAAAATGACCAATAGGCCCATAAAGAGATGTTTAACACCCCTAGTTATTAGGGAACTACAATTCAAAACCACAATGAGATACTGTTTCATACCTATTAGAATGACTGTTATCAAAAAGCAGAAAATAACAGATGTTGATGTTGATGAGGTTGTTCATTTGCTCAGTTGTGTCCAACCCTTTGCAACGCCATGTCCTGCAGCACACAAGCCTGCCCTGGTCTTCACTATCTCCCAGAGTTTGCTCACACTCATGTCCATTGAGTCAGTGATGCCATCCAAACATCTCATCCTCTGTTGCCCACTTCTCCTCCTGTCCTAACTCTTTCCCAGCATCAGGTTCTTTTCTAATGAGTCAGTTCTTCACATCAGGTGGCCAAGTATTTGAGCTTCAGCATCAGTCCTTCCAAAGAATATTCAGGGTTGATTTCCTTGAGGATTGACTGGTTGGATCTCTTTGCTGTCCAAGGCACTTTCAAGAGTCTTTCAAGGGACTTTGAAGAGTCTTCTCTATCACCACAGTTTGAAAGCATCAGTTCTTCAGTGTTCAGCCTTCTTTATGGTCAACTGTCACATCTGTACATGGAGGCTGACAAACTGGACCTTTTATGCTTTGCTGAAGGAAATAGTGATACACCATAGAAAACCATGTAGTGATTCCTCAAAATTAAACATGTGATCCAGCCATTCTACTTCCAGGAGTATACCCAAAAGACTGGAAAGTGGGAGCTCAAACAAATACTTGCATACCAATATTCATAGGAACCGTCAACTAAAAGAAAAAAGCACAGTGCAAGAGTTGTGGGTTTCAGTTTTATTCAAGGACCTTACTGAGGACTATAGCCTGGGAAACAATCTCTCAGCACTGAGGTAATGATCTTAAGATTATATGTGTGTGTGTATATATATATATACATATATATATAGGCTTCCCAAGTGGTGCTGGTGGTAAAGAGTCTGCCTGCCAATGCAAGAGACATAAGAAATGCAGGTAGTTCTAATGAGATGGATGAAACTGGAGCCCATTATACAGAGTGAAGTAAGCCAAAAATATAAAGATCAATACAGTATACTAATGCATATATATGGAATTTTAAAAGATGGTAATGATAACCCTATATGCAAAACAGAAAAAGAGACACAGATGTACAGAACAGATTTTTGGACTCTGTGAAAGAAGGCAAGGGTGGGATGTTCTGAGAGAATAGCATTGAAACAAGTATACTATCAAGGGTGAAACAGATCACCAGCCCAGGTTGGATGCATGAGACAAGTGCTCAGGGCTGGTGCACTGGGAAGACCCAAAGGGATGTGATGAGGAGGGAGGCGGGAGGGGGGATCGGGATGGGGAACACATGTAAATCCATGGCTGATTCATGTCAGTGTATGGCAAAAACCACTACAATATTGTAAAGTAATTAGCCTCCAACTAATAAAAATAAATGAAAAAAAAAAAGAAATGCAGGTTCTATTCCTAAGTTGGGAAGATCCCCTAGAGAAGGGAATGGCAAACCACTCCACTATTCTTGCCTGGAGAATCCCATGGATAGAGGACCTTTGTGGGCTACAGACCCTACCATAGTGTCACAAAGAGTTGGACACGACTAAAGCAACTTGGTATGCACGCATATATGTATTACACAGATATATGTATATATCCGGTTATATCACTTTGGTTATAGAATGCTTGCAGTCAAGCATAAATCTCAGTAAAAGCGTACTGCTAGTCACAAGGATCAGGTATCTCAGTTAATGATTTTAGTGCCATTCTGTGTATGCGAAGAGTTAAAAATCTGGGTTCATTAAAATTTTTTCCAGAGATATCTGTAACTATCTAAGGGGTCTATTTTTCCAAAGCATGGAGTGCCTTACCTGTTTTTCATCCTGAATTTCTTTTAGGGTTTACTGTCAGTCAGCTACTACAGTGACTAATGACTTGAAACTCCTATCCTCATAGAACTGGATAGTGAGCCATATTATTTGTTTTACACTGCATTATTTACAATAGTCAAAAAGTAAAAATAATCCAAGTACCCATCAACAGATGAATTAATTAACAAAATGTGGTTTATAGGGGAGGGAAATTTTCCTTTTACCTTTGTAGTCTCTGTGGCTGGGCCTATGAATTAAACTGACAGAACAGTTCAACAGAAGGGAAACATACAAATGTTATCTAATATTTTTCCATGTACTCGGGAAATAGTCAAAAGGAAAATGAAGACATTAGGTTCCAAAACTTGCATACCTTTTTAAACAAAGAATGAGAAATTGTGCAGATGTGACAAGACATAGGGCTTTGGGTCAGGGGCAAAAAAATTATGGGACAGCAACTTGAAATATATGAGGGAAACTAATGGAAGTTGTTTTAATATGTTTGTTTTATTTTAGCAGAATTTATACAGATCATTTCAGTATAGGCTCCCAGTCTTGTGATAAAAGCATTCTTCTCTTCCTAGTATAGAGATGGCACCCCTCTAATGGGAAATTTTATGATCCGATTTTAAGTAGAAAAAGGGAGATCAGAGATCTCTTCCTGGGACTTCCCTGGTGGTCCAGTGGTTAAGACTCTACACTTTCACTGCGGGAGACACAGGTTCCATCCAAGGTCAGAGAACTAACATCCTGCATGACCAGTGACACAGCCAAAAAAAAAAAAAAAAGCAAAACAAAAGAGAGGGTCCTTCCTGCATCTATTGCTTTTCTCAAGTGCTTTCAGGTCAAAATAATTAATATGCCACAATGGCATATATTGTGCCATGTTCTGTACCCTTTCATTATGTAGATATTACAGAGGAGGAACACTTTTCCTTCTACCCTTCTAGGGTTTTTAGCTAGTCTAATGAGCAAACTGACATAAGACAGAGTCACAGGAGAAAACCAGTTTAATTTTGTACATATAGGAGTACTTAAAAATATAAGACCCCAAAAGGTAGTCAGGCAATAGAGGCTTATATGCCATCCTGAGCTAAGGAATGGGATAGGGTCCTGAGTCTTCAAAGTGGAGGAAAGTGATTCACAGGACAGTAAGAAGAGTGGATGTTTGGTGACTAGATGTTTGCCCTGCCATACAGATAGGTCATTCAAATAAAAGTTATCTTTGGTGATAGTGCTCTCTCTGAGCCAGGCCCCCTATCTAATTTCTTACAGATATTTAATAGGAAGGTTAAAAAAATTGCTTCCTAGGTTTTTGGGGCTTTAATTATCCTCAGCTCAAAATAACCGGCATACTAAAGTGACACATTTGGGGAAAGCTCGTCTTGAACCCTTTCAGTACAATGAAATATCATTCAGCCTTAAAAAGTAATAAAATTCTGATACATGATGTAATGTGGATGAACCTTTGAAACATTATGCTAAGTAGAATAAGTGAAGTATTGTAAGATTCCATTTACATGAAGTATCTAGAATTGGCAGATGTCTAGAAAGAGAAAGAATAGAGGTTTCCAGAAACTGAAGAGTGTGCAGAATTGGGTTATTGCCTAATAATGATGGGGTTCAGGACTCACTACTCCAAAATATGGCAACTTGCCATATTGAATATGAATATTCCCTTCAAGCTGAAGGAATCTGAGGATGACATGTGCCAGAAGGACTTTCTGACCTTCCCCTGAAGCAAGATTTAAGAGCCCTATGTGAGAGGTGCCATTCCTATATCTGGAGAAAGTCTTCTTATCTCTAAGAAGGAGGACACTGAGAAGCATCTGAACTAACTGGCCTTGCTAGATTCCCCCAGTTTACCACACTTGGCTCACCTTTGTCCTCTGACATCTCCCCACAGCTTTCCCCTCTTCCCCACATCTGGTGTGAGAACACTCAGGATTAACCATTTCTTTGGGTCTTCATTTCCTTATGAAGGCTCCCAAGTCACATAAAACTTGCATAAACTCAATTTGTATGTTCTTCTCCTATTAATCTGTCTTTGTCAGTTTAATTTTCAGACCCATCCAGGGACCCTAAGAGAGTAGAGGAAAACTTTTTTTCTCCCCTGCAATAGGCACAGAGTTTCTCTTGGGGATGATGAAAAGGTTTTAGAGAAAAACACACACAATGTTATGAATGTACTTAATTCCCCTGAATTGTACATGTTTAAAAGGTTAGAATGGTAAATTTTCAATATGTATATTAGTGCATGCACACCAAAGATCACTGGTTGGAAGTCAAGTAGGTTTCAAAGCTCTAGACACTCCAAATTGTCTTCCTTGTTTTCTTCTCATTAAGTTAAATAATTGTTAAGAATTTGTTGAGTACTTTTGTACTAAACACTGTGCTAGGCACAGCAGAAAATTCAAAGTAAGACATCTTTCTTTCCATGAAATCCATCACTGAGTTTTCTTAAATTGAGATTAAGGGGAAGCTGTTCAATTTTTTATACAGTTTTGTGTTCTTTGTT